TAAGATTTTTGTGGATGAAGCTGGGATTGTTCGGGACACTCCCAGTGTTGGGTAGAAGCAGCCGTACCAAGCGAGTGCGTAGCAGGAAATTGTTGGCCTGCAGCGAAACCAGGCAAGGCTTGACCGGGAAATGTAGAAGCGGTAGACGTGGGAGCAGCAAAGCACAGAAAAGAATCTGGGGTATAGGGGCGCAAGTTACAACGTTACAACGGGAAACAAAGTTACAGAAAATCGCTAAAGCATTAATAGCAAGTGAGTACATGTTATACCGAAAACGGTGCTGTGCAGCGAGGGAATGAGGGATTGTAAAAGGCGTATCGACGAAAGAACGCTGTCAATGATCGTAACCAGGTCACAAAGTCCGCCCCGAAACGCGTTTGTGAGATGAAACCAGTGTCCCTCTCGCGAACAATACGTTGGCGAACTCTACGTGAAACACTCTGCACAGCGTCTTCCATAATTTATTATGCCGCGTAGCATGTGCTGGATTCCTGCCCCAACATTGCATTATTGGAATTGGGAAGAGAATGGCAGAAAGTTATCCTAATTTTATTTTCGGCTTTTCTTTGTCGACTTTTGCTAGCGATTGGCCTACGGGTGCATGCATTTAATAACATGTTACCTACGCAACTAATGTACCAAATACAAAAGTTTTCGTGAGAAATTCGCGACCAAATTTAGTAACGAGAAATGTCAAAGAGTGAAATGCTACTGGAGAGTGAATTTTTCTGCGACCCACGTGGGAGAAAAGAAAGAATCACCAAGGATATATATTTTTGCAGCACCAAGCAAAGCGAGATTCAGTCGACTCTATAAGGTTCCGAACCTGAAATGTGTAGATATTTTGTTTGGTTACAAATCACGTTGCACATCCTGCGGAGCGTGGTGGCGGCACAGTGTTTTCGAGGAGCGAGCGTATGACACTCTTAAATACCCAGACATTTAGGGATTGTTGCACATAGCACCACGGAAAACCTATTGCGAGTTTGCCCGCATATCGGACGAAGAAAGGAAAAGCTCGACTTTTTGGCGAAAGATAGCGTAGTGGTTGAAGACAAAAGGACCCTGAATTACATTGTTTGAGCATTTCAACCGTAGAATCGAATTATTGGGCCTCCCAATAATTCACGAAGCGCGAATATATTTTGGCTGAATGAAAGCTGAGCGCGCTTCCGCTTCCATTGTCGAAACTGTTGGAGATTACGTGTGTTGGAAGCAAGGTGGTGGTGGGGCGTTTGTATGCCCCCAACCCACCGAATGTGTGACTTGTGCTCACCTTCGAGTGAGTTGCAGGTTTGCGTGGGGTTGAGGATTGACTTCGGAAGACCCATTCGATACGGTGCCACATGGCAGCACCAGGAACATTCGAGACCCAAAGAGAATTCGGATCGGTGAAATTCGAGAGTCGAATTTCACCCTTTCGATGTTACTCGAACATTCGCGAATGTAGCGGTTCGAGGTTACTTGTGCGATTCGATCTTGTTTGCATGCTATAAATCTGTTTTCTTTGTATTGCATGCCATCATAGTGAAACTCAGAGTTCTTTGTACAAGGTACATTCGAACACAAATTCCTGAGAGCTTCTTTACTTGCATTCAAGAGCACCACCTAGCACGTGAACGCCTATATCTCGGAGAATACTTAGGCGATCGACGTGTTTGACGGCTCGTTGGAAAGCTAAGACAGAGCTCTATCGTTTAGAACAACTCCCAGTTCCTGCAAAGTAGAGGAGAGTCCTCTACAACAGTGGTATCAGAGCTGGTCGGAGGAGTCTACGCGCGCGACAAGGAGCACGCATGATGACTTCAAGCGAGGCCTCCCGCACTTCCTTGGATGGTGTCGTTGTAAATTCCGGCGAACCCTGGGCAACCGCGACGATGTTCGACACGTTTGGCGGTACCGATTTTCACGGGACAAAACTACTCCGCGTGGAAGTTTAAGTTCCAAGTGCTCATGATGGAGCGGGGACTTTGGGGTTTCTTCGATGGAACGGAGAAGAAGCCGGACGATGAGAGCGGCATCGCGGCATGGAAGAAGAAGGACCAAAAGGCGTTCGCTACGTTGATTTCGCGCATCGGCATCAATCTCGTGAGCTCGGTGCGCATGTGCATCAAGCTCGAAGCGTCGGCGCATGAAGCGTGGAAGCGGCTCGAGACCATCCACGTGAACAAGACTCTCCACGGCAAGATCCTAGCCCGGAATGCGTTCTACACGGTGAAGATGCGCGCGGGCGAATCGATGCACGAGTTTGCGACTCGTGTGGAGGAACTCGGGGAAACGTTCATGGACCTCGGTGGAACGGTCACGGAGGAGGATTGGATTCTCACCTTGCTTTGTGGCCTTCCGGAAGAGTGGTCGACGGTGATTACGACACTCGATAGCGTGCAAGACACTTGGACGAAGGAAATGGTGGTTGGTCGGCTTCTCCATGAAGAATCGCGTCGCCGACAATTCGCTAATGAGAGCGAGGGTGCCGCCATGTACTCCGGAGGGAGTTCCGGAAAGAAGTCCAAGTGGAGCAAGGACGCAACGAAGGAATCGTCCGGTGGGAGCGAGCATCGCGGCAAGTGTCACTATTGCCGCAAACCGGGACACTTTTGGCGTGAGTGTCGAAAGCGGCCGAGCGATTGGACTCCATCGATGGCGCGGGACCAAGAGGGCAACGCGCACACGGCATCCGGCGAGGCCGATGATTCAAAGGAGTCGCTCGTGTTAGTGGCCGGCAACGGGAACAAAACTCCAAGCGACGCGTGGTTCCTCGATACCGGCGCAACGCAATACATGACGCACTCGGCGTCGCTCCTCAACAACATTGGCGCTCCGGGAGACGTCACGAGCATCGTGTTCGGAAACAACGAATCGCTACCGGTGGTCGGAGTTGGGAGTACGCGCCTCATCGTCGATAGCGGTCCGGTGGACGTGACGAACGTGTTTCACGTCCCGGGGGTGAAGGTGAACCTTCTATCCGTCCCGCAACTTGCGAAGAAGGGAGTGATCGCCACGATCGACGGTGCGAAAATGAACCTCTTTTGGAAGGGGGAGCAATTCGCGCAAGGTGTTCTCAACGGAGATATCTACCAACTCAAGACGTACCCGAGAGCGGCTTCATCCAACGTGGCGCAAGGCTCCAATGCGACTCTCAAGGCGTGGCATAATCGGCTTGCGCACGCCAACTACGACTCGGTCAAGGAGTTGGCCAACAAAGGACTTGCGAAGGGAGTCGACGTGATCGCCGGCGACGACGAGAAGGGCGTGTGCGCGGCGTGTGTCGAAGGAAAAATGGCTCGCAAGCCATTCGGTAGCCGAACGTCACCCCTCGCTAAGGACCCGCTTGCACTTGTTCACATGGACGTGTGTGGACCGATGCGGCATGCATCAAAGGGAGGAGCGCGGTTCCTCTTAGTGATGCTCGACGACGCGACGCGGATGTGTTGGACCCGACTTTTGAAGGCTAAGGGAGATGCGGTCAAGGCGATTCAAGAGTGGGCGCTCGAAGTTTGCGACGATGACAAGAAGCGGATCAAGTGTATTCGCACCGATGGTGGTGGCGAATTCGTGAATGCGGAGCTCGAGAAATGGATGAAGTGCAAGGGCATTAAGCACGACGTCACAACACCCTACACACCCCAACAAAATGGAGCGGCGGAGCGGCTTAATCGCACGTTGGTGGAAGCCGTTCGTTCTCTTCTTCAACACTCCAAGCTTGGGAAAGAGTGGTGGGGCGAGGCGAGTTCGCTAGCGGCGTGGATTCGCAACCGTTTGCCGACGAAGGTGCTCCCGGGAATGACTCCGTTCGAAGCATGGACCGGAACGAAGCCGAACCTATCCCGCCTTCGCACCTTTGGGTGCCTTTGCTACTACCATGTACCGGATCCCCTTCGCCACAAGTTGCAACCGAAGGCTCGTGCGGCGATCTACTTGGGAATTGCGGCGAACGAGCGTGCGTGGCGAGTGTGGGACTTGGGCGACAAGTGCGTCGTCACGTCTCGGGACGTGGTCTTCGATGAAGACAAGTTCCCGTCGAAGGAGAAACCCACTCAACAACTCACCTTCATCCTTCCGCCACGAGAGGAGGTTGAAGAGAGTGAGACTCCACCTCAAGTGGAGAAGGAAGCCGATGGAGGGGGAGCGAACAACGAGGAGAGCATTGATGATGTCGTGGAGGTGTCACCAACCGAGGCGGCAACTACCTCCACACCTTCCTCCCTACCATTGGCCTTGACCCGCGAGCGTCGTGAGGTTCGTCCTCCCTCCAAGTACAACGACTACGCTACGGTAGCCGTTGGGGAGACGGATAAGGAGGGCGCGGCATTTTGCTTCGCAACCAAGGGTGATGATGAACACGCGAAATCTCTCATGGAACCACCCCCTAAAGATTCATCCCGTGCATGCTATGAGCATGTTGGTTTGCACACCTAGTGGGTTGGGTGCAAGGGGGAGTGTTGGAGATTACGTGTGTTGGAAGCAAGGTGGTGGTGGGGCGTTTGTATGCCCCCAACCCACCGAATGTGTGATTTGTGCTCACCTTCGAGTGAGTTGCAGGTTTGCGTGGGGTTGAGGATTGACTTTGGAAGACCCCTTCGATTCGGTGCCACATGGCAGCACCAGGAACATTCGAGACCCAAGGAGAATTCGGATCGGTGAAATTCGAGAGTCGAATTTCACCCTTTCGATGTTACTCGAACATTCGCGAGTGTAGCGGTTCGAGGTTACTTGTGCGATTCGATCTTGTTTGCATGCTATAAATCTGTTTTCTTTGTATTGCATGCCATCATAGTGAAACTCAGAGTTCTTTGTACAAGGTACATTCGAACACAAATTCCTGAGAGCTTCTTTACTTGCATTCAAGAGCACCACCTAGCACGTGAACGACTATATCTCGGAGAATACTTAGGCGATCGACGTGTTTGACGGCTCGTTGGAAAGCTAAGACAGAGCTCTATCGTTTAGAACAACTCTTAGTTCCTGCAAAGTAGAGGAGAGTCCTCTACATTTTCTGAATGAAAGCTGAGCGCGCTTCCGCTTCCATTGTCGAAACTCCTCGTAAGTCTTCAGCATAAATTTCCAGCCCTGACGAGTGAGCTCCCATCAGTTAGCAAACTCCCCTTTCCACATTTGAACAGCTGCATTACTGACACCGAGCTAGTGAGGTTTGTCAGTATGTTGGTGGGATTCCTCCTCGTGCTGGTCTTCTCTTGCGGGCCGCTGGGCAGCCAAGGATTGCGGCCATTGTTCGACGGGATGACGGCGGCGGACTTGGAGCAGTTGTACGAGGAGATGGCGCAGGAGGAGATGACGCATTCGTTGGTGACGAGGACGGAAGACGGTGAAGTGGTGGCGACGCCGCCGTACGTGGCGACGTCGCCGTACGTGGCGAGGCCAGTGAAGCAGCCGGACGTGGCGGCGAAGCAGCCGGACGTGGCGACGAAGCAGCCGGACGTGGCGACGAAGCAGCCGGACGTGGCGACGAAGCAGTTGGACGTGGTGACGAAGCAGTCGGACGTGGCGACGAAGTAGCCGGACGTGGCGACGAAGCAGCCGGACGTGGCGACGAAGCAGCCGGACGTGGCGACGAAGCAGCCGGACGTGGCGACGAAGCAGCCGGACGTGACGAAGGCGCAGGAGGAGCTGAAGCGGGTTCAAGCAGAGGTGTCAAACAAGATCACGTTGGCATACCAGGAGAAACAGCGACAGGAAGAGCTGCAAAAGCAGGAGAAGCTGAAGCAGCAGTATCAGCAGGAACAGGAACGGCTGAAGAAGGTGCAGCAGGAATTTCAGGAGCAGCTGAAGAAGCTTCAGCAGCAGCGGCAGCAGCACTGAGTGACAGCCGGGACGGAGCAGTATCAGCAGGAACAGGAACGGCTGGAGAAGGTGCAGCAGGAATTTCCAGGAGCAGCTGAAGAAGCTTCAGCAGCAGAGGCAGTGACAGCGGGGACGGATGCGATGCGTCGGCCAGGAAAAATATTGCACCCTGGGCATGTGTAAGGATTTAGGCAACATATGTGAAACATTAGCTTCAGGTGATATACATAACAAATACATCGGCAACGTAACACAAGAAAAGAAAGTGACCTAAGGAAGGGAAAAGGAGGTGAGAAATGAGAGAAAGTACAGCCGCCGGAAGATCTGCATGGCACGATACGCACAGAAGTGTGAAAATGATTGTGTGTGGCAACAGGGAAAGGGGGGATGGGGGAAAGGGGGAATAGTTAGATGGTTTGTTTGCAGTTTAAATATTTGTTTTGAAGTAAGCTGACAAGCGATTTGTGTTGTACCACTTTGTGTTGATATATTTCGTCACCTATAATAAATGTAACGAGGATTTTTGGGTGTTCTTCCAGTCGTCCATCGCCCCAAGAAGAACTTCTCTTCTCCACATTTTCGTTCGCCCGCGAAAGTTGCTCCAGCAGCACCAGCATTCACGAGCAGAAACTTTCTAACCGGAAACAAAGTTACAGAATCTGGCGAACTACTAGCCCAAGACACATCGCTAACGAAACATGCCTGAACTCCACGAAAAAAAGGCGTGATTTCTGCCTCCCATCCCAACCAAGCCCCCGCCCTCCATCCACAAAACAGAAATCGCAATTGCATTTCGCATTTGCTCACAACATCTCGCTCCTCTCATCTCGGACGGGAACTCGCACTTGCTGTTATTTTTTTCGGCTGGAGTATCCGATCTGCGAGTGATTATAACGCGGACAAGCTTTTACGCGAGCCGAGAATCATGTCGGCGAAGCTGCTGCCAGTGGGCGAGGTGGTAACCCGACTGAACCTGCAGCCGCACCCGGAGGGAGGGTTTTACGCGGAGACGTTCCGCGACACGCGCGTGCAGCTATCCCTGGAGAACTTGCCTCCGGACGAAGGATGTAAGCACATCGCATTGTTACGCGATTGCGTGGTAACGCTGTAACATCGCTATATCAAGATAGTCACGCGGAGGCGTTTCGCGACACACGGCGCGTGCAGCTATCCCTGGAGAACCTGCCTCTGGGCGAAGGATGTAAGTATTAACGAGGTGGTAACAACTCTAACACTGATTTAGGGAGGAGTTTATTTTTGAGTCGTTCAGAGACACGCGGGTGCTCTTATCCCTTGAGAACCTGTCTTTTTGCGACGAATGTAACATTGTAACACTGTAGACTGGTTAGCTTTGTCGAGGTAGCTCAGACACATTAAAGTCCAAAGGTATTCAAAGTTCAGGGAAAGTCAGCACGATACGGTCAAATGGAGGGTACCATTTGCGAGTACGTACTGTATTAACTCATGTCTTCAGCATAATGCGCTCACCTCCACCCTCGCATCTTGCAGTGGTATCACACTGGTTGACTTTTGAGTCGACTCAAGAGTCAGTTTGAGTCAACCCAAAATTCAACCATTCGCAATTAGTGACACATGTATTCAGCACGATGCGCTCACCTCCACCCTTGCATCTTGCAATGGCATCGCCCTGGTTGACTTTTGAGTCAGACTGAAAAGAAGACACGAGTCGACTGGAAAGTCAACTATTTTCAAGTAGTGAAACATGTATGCAGCATGATCCGCTCGTCTCCACTCTCACATCTTGCAGTGGCATCACACTGGCTCGCATCCCCTCCACTCCCCACCCCTCCGCCCTTTTTTTCTCCCCGCCCTATCCCACTTGTCTCATTGGGCAGTCAAGGTGGGCAGGCCGGTTAGCACCTGCATTTATTTTCTTCTGCCCACGGGCAGCGTCTCTCACCTCCATCGCATGCCCTCCTCCGAAATCTTTCACCACTACGCTGGCGACCCACTCACGGTTAGTTCCCCTCCCCTCCTCTTCTCCCGTCACTTGTTCCATCATCTAATCTTTCACCACTATGCCGGCGACCCACTCACGGTCAGTTCCCCTCCTCTTCCCCTCTCCTCCTCTCGTCTCCTCCTCCCGTCTTCTCATCACCCTCCCTCCTCCACTCTTCCCTTCTTCCTCATTGCTCAATGAGACGAGTCAAGTTCCCATCATCTAAGTTTTCACAGCTGTGCCAGCCAGCGACCCGCTCACGGCTAGATTCCCTCCTCTCCCCCTCCTAATCTCTCTCCTATTACCCTCTCCTCTCCTCTGCTACTCTCCTTTACTTCTCTCCTCTACTTCTCTCCTCTTCTCATCTCAAGTTTCTCCTCCTCTCTTCCGTTCCTCCCCTCTGCTCCTTCCATCACTTGCAAGATGGCTCAATTCGTATCATCGAATCCTAATCTTTCACCACTATGCTGACAACCTGCTCATTGTCAGTTGCAGGGAGTTTTTGAGAATTCTCAAAAGCTCATTGTCAGTTTCCCTCCCCTCCCCCTCTCTCCTGTTCTCCTCTCCTCCTCCACTCCTCCATTCCTCCTTTTCTTTTGTGATTCATCTCCTCTCCTCTCCTCTCCTCTCCTCTCCTCTCCTCTCCTCACCTCCTCTCCTCCTTTCCTCCGGTCCCTTTCTTCTCCTTCCTTCCTTCCTTCCTCGTGTGAGTCAGATTGTTGAAATTGAAGACGATGGGTCGATCCGCAAGACCACCATCAGCCCAGGCCTAGCAGCAGGCCGATCCTACTGTCACACCATTAAACCCAGGGTCTGCCTCCGCTCCCACACACCATCATGCACCTTTCCCTACCTCCCCTTCTTTTCCTTCCAGATTGTTGAGATAGAAAACGATGGGACGATCCGCAAGACCACCATCGGCCCAGACCTAGCAGCCGGCCAATCCTTCCACCACATCATCAAACCCAACATCTGGTTCGGGGCGTTCCCCACCCTTGATTTCGACGCTGCGCTGAAACGGACGGCTCAAGATGCGGGTTCAGCAGATACGCAGTACAGTCTGGTTGGATGCACTGTAGCTCCTGCTTTTGAGTTTGCAGATTTCGAGTTGGCTAATAGGGCGGATCTGATTGCCAAATTCCCCCATTTAGCCGATATAATCAGTATTTTGACCAGTCCATAGAGTACACTAATGCAATGGACATTGTACTTTGTATAAGATATATACGTGCGTCCTGTAAGATCATTCACTGCTGTACAGAGTGAGATATGTCAGTAAATTGTGCTTCCCCGAGTCCCCGACAGTAGCTGCTCCACAATATGCCTGCGAGAAAACGGTGCGGGATTGGGGGCAAGGGGATGAATGAAGGGAAGGGGAGAATGAGGTTGAAATGGCTCAAGACTAGATGTGTGTTGAACATTTGATGCTTGCGAGACAATGGTGAAGGGTGGGTGGGAGTTCACTTTCGAGGTGCCTCAATAGCCATCTCAAAGTCTAGATGACTAATTTCGATGCGTGCGTGATAATGGTGAAGGGTGGGAGTAACGGTAAGGGCATGCGAGTGGAATGCAGAGGATGGAGAAAGGAGGAGAGATGGGAGAGTGGCTGCACTCCTTTATACCGCATCCCACCCATGCAATGCGGGTCAGCTCAGTGCTCACCTGTCCGCTATGCCCCTCCCCACCCCACCACCTCATTGGCTCTCACAAACACTAGTGGGTGTCCGCCAGAGTGTGGTGCGTTGACTTTTGAGTCAACTCAAAGTCAACCCCACTAGTGGGTGTCCGCGCTGGTTTTTGAGAATTCTCACAAACACTAGTGGGTGTCCGCCTGAGTGTGGGTGTGGCTTTGTCTGTGCGTGCTCGCACCACCACACTGTGTATCACCAAACCTTACCACACCCTAACACCGAATCTCACCATGGTCTCACCTGTCCGCTATGCTACGCCCCACCGCCATCCCTTTGGCGCTCAGAAACGCCAGCCTGTGTCCGCCTGACTGTGGCTGTGGTGCCCGCACCACCACCCTCTGCTGATTGGCCCCCACACTCGCTGTTGATACTGTGATCTTGCACTCTTCCCCAACAACCCTCTGCTGATTGTCCCCCACACTCGCAGTCAATACTGTGATCTTGCGCCCTTCTTCAGGCAACATGTTTTGTTGCTCATGTGCGTCGTTTTGCCTGCTGTCCACCCTTTCCCCTGTTTCCAGCAACAGCAGCAGCTCCAGGCTATCTATCCCCCCAAGCCCTTCCTTCTCTGCTTGATTCCCCAACACTTGAGCGTTTTCAACACGAGCAGCAGCAGCAGCAGCACCAGCAGAACCACCACTGGCAGCAGCAGCACCAGCAGAACCAGCAGCAGCAGGAGCAGCACCAGCAGAACCACCATCAGCAGCAGCAGCAGCAGCAGAGCCAGCAGCAGCAGGAGCAGATGGGAGTGGGCAGACGTGCAGGCTGAGAATGGAGTGTGCGAGGCTGTGCCATGCAGTCAGCAGCACACGACGATGCACATCCCTGCGTGGGAATAAAAGGGACAAGGAGAGGAGTGTAAGTGGTATGTGGGTGTGAGTGGTACAGGTGGTGTCTGAGAACGGAGTGTGCGAGGCTGTGCCATGCAGTCAGCAGCACACGACGATGCACATCCCTGCAGGTGAAGGAAGGTGGAGAGAAGTGAGGATGGGGCGTGGGTATGTGGGTGTGAGTGGGGGTGTAGGTGACTTATGAGAATGGAGTGTGAGAGGCTGTGCCATGCTGTCAGCAGCACATGACAATGCACATTCCTGTGTGTGGAGGAAGGGGTGTGAGGGTGGATGGGGAGTGAGTGCGGATGGGGTTTACGTTAACTTTTGAGGCGGGGCTGTGCCACGCAGTCAGCACCACACGACGAGGAAGGGGGAACGAAGCATGGATGGGGTGGGTGTCTTGTCTCTAAGGCATGGTACGAGTATAGTTGACGTGGTTTCTGAGAACGGAGGCGGTTTTTGAGACGCCTCAAAAACCGGCGGTTTTTGAGACGCCTCAAAAACCACCTCAATGGGCGGGCGTGGGTGTCTTGTCTATAAGGCATGGTACGAGCATAGTTTTGACTTTTGAGTCGACTCAAAAATGGGCGGGCGTGGGTGTCTTGTCTATAAGGCATGGTACGAGTATAGTTTTGAGGTGGCTTCTGAGAGCGGAGGCTGTGCGGGTGTGTGCGCCATGCATGTGGTCAGCAGCACACGATGATCCACATCCGTTTGGGTGGGGCGTGGGTGTGAGTGGTGGGGGGGTGTGAGTGTGGATGGGGCGTGGGTGTGAGTGGTGGGGGGGTGTGAGTGTGGATGGGGCGTGGGTGCGAGTGGTGGGGGCGTTTCCTTACCAGAGGACAACAGAACCGCCATGCGAGCACCCCAGAACCCATCCCGGCCGGTGGGGCACAGCAGCCAAGGAGACGACCGTTTCTGACTTGTGTTGACTCAGGTTGACTCACCAAAGAGCAACTGAGCCGCCGTGGGAGCACCCCAGAACCCATCCAGGCCGGTGCGGCACAGCAGCCAGGGAGATGACTCGGTGGAAGGGGTGGCTCCTGTAGCAAGCTGGGGGAAGGTGGTACCTGGCCAGGGGTGACCTGTGACAGGTGATACACACAGGCAGGGTGTGGGGAACGAGTGTGTGTTGGGGCACAGCAGCCAGGGAGATGACTCGGTGGAAGGGGTGGCTCCTGCAGCAGGCCGGGGGGAGGTGGTATATGGACAGGGGGAACCTGTGAGACGGGTTGAGGGGTGGACAAAAGGCACTTTAAACAACGTATGATGCATCAAGGATTGAGTGTATGAGGGAACACAGCAGACAGGGAGATGACTCGGTGGAAGGAAGGGTTGGCTTCTGTAGCAGGCAAGGGGGAGGTGGTATCTGGCCAGGGGCGACCTGTGACAAAGGTGTGGGGAGAGACAAAGCACACAGCTTAGAGGAGAAGGTACAATACTGCTAAATGCTGCTGAAGCATACAATACTGCTAAATGTACAGTACAATGGGGGACGAGTGTGTGTGAGGGGCTTACCTCCCCTCTCCTCTCGCTTCCCCTCGCATCCTCTCTCACCTCCCATGCCTGTCCATCTCCCAGCAGCATGCAGCCCCACCATCCCCTACCTTCACCTACACGCAATTACCCCCACCTTTTCTATAAAACCCAGTTTACTTCACCCCTCACCGCCTCTCTCACCTCCCATGCCTGTCCATCTCCCAGCAGCACGTAGCACCACCATCCCCTATGTGTACCTACCCTCAGCTCACCTATCCCCACCTACCCCCACCCCACCTAACCCCACCTACCCCCACCTATCCCCACCTACCCCCACCCCACTTAACCCCACCTAACCCCACCTACCCCCACCTACCCCCACCTACCCCCACCTACCCCCACCAACACCCGCCTGACCCCTACCTCCCTGTATGTGTCCCTCTCACCTTCCATGCCTGTCCATCACCCAGCAGCACGCAGCCCCACCATCCCCTGCCGCCACCACCACCCACTCTCCTCCTCCCTCCATGCCTCCTCCTCCCCTGCCCTTCTCTTCTGCACCCCTCCCCATCTCCTTCCCCCTGCCCTTCTCCTCCACCACACCCCTCCCATCCTCATTCCTCCCCCTCCTCACCACCACTACAGCCCACATCTGTGGGAACTTCAGAACAGGACTTGAGAGGCTTGAGAGGCTTGAGAGGCTTGAGAGGGAGGGGAACCGTGGGACGCTGGCAGAGAGAGCAGGGGAGGAACGGAGGGGCGAGGAAGCGGCACTGGTATGTGCCGAAGGGAATTCGAGAAGATGAGAACACACACCCCCTTTCCGTTTATTTTTGAAGTCCAAATTGACTACTGTCACACCACCAGGTGCACTTTCGCTCCTGCCACTGCTCCGGCTGCTGTTTCTGTTTCTCCTGCTGCCGCTTCTGCTGCCGTTGCTGTTGCCACTGAATGCAGCTGGTTCAGTAGGCTTCGTTATAAGTTCGGACGGCTGGCAGAGGGTGAAGCAGTTAGCGAGGTAGAGGCAGGTGCCACAGGGAGAGAAGGCCAAGGCTTGGCGCTCGGGAAACACCTGGTGGAGAGATTTGAGGACAGGAGTGGGTGGAGAGAACGGGTGCAGGGTGAAATGGTGGGTTACCAAGACAGGCTGGCAGGCAGAGAGTGAAGTGACGCAGATAGTGAGGTAGAGGCAGGAGCCACAGGGAGAGAAGGCCATGGCTTGTATTCGGGGAACACCTGCAAGCAACAGAAAGGTTTGAATGGGGGGGCAGGCGGAGAGTGCAGGCGGAGAGTGCAGGCGGAGAGTGCAGGCGGAGTGTGCAGGCGGAGTGTGCAGGCGGAGTGTGCAGGCGGAGTGTGCAGGCGGAGTGTGCAGGCGGAGTGTGCAGGCGGAGTGTGCAGGCGGAGTGTGCAGGCGGAGTGTGCAGGCGGAGTGTGCAGGCGGAGTGTGCAGGCGGAGTGTGCAGGCGGAGTGTGCAGGCGGAGTGTGCAGGCGGAGTGTGCAGGCGCAGCGGTGGGTTACTGAGAGCAGTGGCCTGGCGCTCTTTCCACTCACCTCCGTCCATGCTTGCATGGCTGAGCCTCACGACACGCCACGGCTGCCCACCAGCCTGAACCACGTAACAGAGGAGCCGAGGAGTGGACTCAAGCGTGACGCTCTTTCCACTCACCTCCGTCCGTGCTTGCATGGCTGAGCCTCACGACACAGCTGCCCACCAGTCTGAACTGAACCAAGGAGGTGAGGACTCGACTCGAGAGTCATCTCTTTCCACTCACCTCAGTCATTGCCTCTGCATGGTCAAGTTGACTTTTGAGTCGACTCAAAAGTCACCTCAAGTCATCTCTTCCTTCCCACTCACCTCCGTCATTGCCTCTGCATGCTCGAGCCTCACGCCAAAGCTGCCCACAAGTCTGAACCACGGAGCCACTTGCAGGGAATCTCAACAAAGACTTTAAAGCTCACTGACTCAGATGCCATCTCTTTCCACTCACCTCCGTCCGTGCCTCTGCATGCTCGACTCTCACGCCAGAGCTGCCCACAAGCCTGAACCACGGAGCCACATGCTTGGTTGCTTCTTGAGACGTTCCTAGCTCTTCCCTCCCTGCTGCGTTTTCTCCCGCATTTCCTCCTGCTGTCTCTTGTGGCCTTATCCCTCCCACACCACTCCCTGCCACACCACTCCCTGCCACACCACTCCCTGCCATGGCACTCCTCTCACTACACGTCGCTTCATACACCACAATCAGCCGCTCTCCCTCTCCCTCCCTCCCCATACACACAGCAATGCGCGCTCCCCCATCCACCCACACATGCGGCTTTTGAAATGTCTCGAGGTTGGAATGGAGCGCGCCACCACCACCCGCAGAAGGACAACATGAGAATGCACCTGAATGCACCTTCTCTGAGCGACCACGACCATTGGCCCAAGAACGGCAACCTGAGCTGCTGCTCGTCCCCTCCCACACGTGCACAGCCAGTACGGGCAGTGGATGCTGCACATCTATACACACACTACCGCTTCCTCCCACACAGTTTGAGTGGCTGTTTTCCGCCAGCACGGGCAGTGGATGCTGCACCTCTATGCACACAGCACCCATGCCCGAGTCTCCCGCAGGGTTTGAGTGACTGTTCTCTGTCCGCACGGGCAGTGAATGGTGAACCTCTATGCACACGCCACCTGCACTTCCCCCCCACACACAGTTTGAGTGGCTGTTTTCCGCCCGCACTGGTACTGGATGGTGCACCTCTATGCACACGCCACCTGCACTTCCCCCCCACACACAGTTTGAGTGGCTGTTTTCCGTCCGCACTGGTACTGGATGCTGCACCTCTATGCACGCGCCACCTGCACTTCCCCCCCCACACACATTTTTCCCATCTTTCACGACTGAACCATCTTTCCCACCTTCCTTATCCACACGCCTTCCTCCTTCCTCTCTGCCCCACACATCACCCCCCTCCTCTATGATTGCATCAGCATCCACACCTATCTTCACATCTTTCACTCTCCCCTCCTCTCTCCCCTCCTCTCTCCCCTCCTCTCTTCCATCCTCTCTCCCCTCCTCTCTCCCCTCCCCTCTCCCCGCCTCTTTCTCCTCCTCTCTCCCATCCTCTCTCCTACTCTTTCTTCCTTCCTCCATTCCCTCCACTGCCCCCCTTACTCCTCCCTCCTCCCTTCCCTCCTCTCTCCCCTCCACTCTCGCTCCCTTCCGTGTCTCCTCTCCTTCCCTCCCTTCCAATATCAGCACAGATTCCTTTCCGCCCTCCTTTCCCTCATCTTCATTTCCCTCCATTCCCTCCTCCCCCTCGCCTTGAGGATGTGACAGTAACGGTGGCTTTTGTGTGGAGCCAGCAGAAACAGCCGGACGTGACAATGACAGAGGTGACAGCAAAGGTGTCATCTCATCCTCTTCAATAGAATCCATAGGCAGTGACAACACCCGGTGTGACAATAACGGGGACTTGTGAGTGGAATCAGAACGAGCAACCGTGAGTGACAGTGGCAGTGACAATGAATGGGGTTGTGATTGAAACGAAGGTGTGGAATGAGGGCTGCTCTTGACTAGGGACAGAGGGGAGTAGCCTTTAGGCGTTATGCCTTTTTGCGAACTGCCTTTCGGTGTTCGACTTTTAGGCGTTTTGTCTTTTGGCAAGCTGCCTTTAACCGTGCTTTCTGCTGCTGCTGCCGCTGCTTCTGCTTCTGCTGCTTCTTCTGCTGCTGCTGCTGCTGCTGCTGCTGCTGCTGCAGCTGCTCCTGCAATAGCTTCTCCTCGGGTTGAAGGCGAACCTGCTACCTTTGCACCAGCAGCGCCAGAACCACTTGCTCGTGCACCCTTGCGACGCTTGGGCTGAGGACTTTCCCTGCATTCGTTTCTGCTGGTAGCTTCTCCTGCTGCACCACGTGTGCTGCCCTCTGTCTCTGCTATCGCCGCCGTCCTCTCTCTGTCACCACGTGTGCTGCCCTCTGTCCCTTCCACCTTTTCCGTCCTCTTTTCAATTTTCCCAGAACTGCCCCTCCGCCTTTTATTAATCTTTGTCAGACGGGTGTCAGGAGGTTGAGAGTTGCTGGGAGCTTCAGCAGCTGCCAAGGGTATTTTATTCACTGGAGGTCCGTCAGTTGCTGGAGGTCCGTCAGTCAGTGGAGATACGTCAGTTGCTGGCAATCCGTCAGTTGCTGGCAATCCGTCAGTTGCTGGCAAACCGTCAGTTGCTGGCAATCCGTCAGTTGCTGGCAAACCGTCAGTTGCTGGCAAACCGTCAGTTGCTGGCAAACCGTCAGTTGCTGGCAAACCGTCAGTTGCTGGCAAACCGTCAGTTGCTGGCAATCCGTCAGTTGACTTTGCAGCATCCTCTTTCACATGACTGCTTTCCAGTTGCCATGCCGATTCAGCTTCACCGCTCAGGTTGAAGCCGTCCAAAAACGCCCTCATATCCGCACCCACCTTACTGTCACATCTCTCACCTCCACCCCCCTTACTGTCACAACCCTCGTCTCCACCCTCCTTACTGCCACTATCGCCTCCACCCTCCCCTTCACCACTATCACAACCGCCGTACTGACTCCCTACTTCTCCCTTCTCACCACGGATAGAACCGTCATTACCGTTGCAAACCGAAGCACCTCGAATGCCACCGCCAATATCCTCGCTAATAGCATCCTCGTCACTGTCTGGAACTTGCACGTTGCTGCCACCACTGCCTGCCTCAGGAGGATCACGCACAGCAGCGGCCTGAGACGACTCAGAGATGATTCCAGAAGCTAGACGCACAACAGCCATGGCCGTCGGAGATGGCCGACCAAGTGAAACCCTAGCTGCTGGTGTTTGAAGGAGCCCTCCTGGTGTTTTAACCAGAGATGGCCGCAACAGCCCTCCTGGTGTTCTTTCAATCTCCGGTGTAAGTGTGGTTGCTGTTGCGGCTGCTGCTGGTGAAGATGACCCCGGGGAAGGCAATAACGGGGATGAAGTCAGTTGTCGCATCCGTCTCAAATCACCCACGGTGCGCGGTCTCCGTCTCGGAGTATTGTCACCTTGCGATACAGGAACACGGCTTGATAATGATGTCGAAAGAACAGGAGAATCAGTAGCCTCAACCTTTCGACTGCTCGGACTCTCGCACTGGTCCCTCCTCCTAAGTGCAGGATTGTGGGAAGTCACAAGGCGGGGTGGCGATCCCTCCTCGGCAAAATTCTCTTCGCGTCTCGACGAATTTAACTCCGCATCGCCGTTTGCTGACGGGGTTAGCGAGACGTCTAAACGGCCGTCAGGAGAAACAGGCGTTGCCGGCGACGAGGCGATCTCTTGAGAGCTACAACTCTTCCTCGCACGCTTTTGCCTCGGCTTACGCGTTTTCCACTCCATGGCGGTCGACTTTCCGTCGGATCGAGCGACAGTCCGGGCCATGGCGGACTGAAGGCAATGCCAGCTGGCACTACCGAGTTGGCCGATTTTACTGGCGAAAAAAACAGGTAACTTGCGAAGGGCTAAGCAGAGGATATCGAGAAGAAGCGATGCGAGACCATGGCGTAGAGGCTGCTATGAAAGACAGTGACGAACGCAGTAAGGGCGCATCCCGATAGTTGGTTTCCGCTCGATATAAACTCAATTGCTCTACAAGCCAAATCACTGTATGGAACCGCGATGGAACCTACGCTGGGTCTACTCGCAAGCATAACCGAGGAGGTTCTGGCTGGCTGAGTTATCAAGAGATAGCGAATGGAGTGTGAGAGTTGGTTCCAGCAGAATTGGAAAGAGTGAAGGTGACGCGACAATACCAAGGGATGAAGCTGAATTTGTCATCTGCTGCCGCAGTGAGGGCGGGGGAGTTTCCGAGTTTGAATTGTTGAGGAACACGATAATGTGTTCTCGGATATTGGCAATAACGCGATTCTTTTGCTCCGTAGGAGCACGATACTTGCAATAGCACGTTCCTTGTGTTGTATAGAGCATTAATGGATATAGGTACCGAATGTTGCAAACAACTCAAATACCCTTTAGATCCAACTCGGCCTTTCTAATGCCCATGAGTAATCAGAAAGCAGTTGTATGAGCTTGCACGCTTTCAGTGATCCCACCAGAAAGGCGAAGCTTTGACAGACATGGACACTCCAGGTGTGCATATCACCTTGAAATACATTATTCATGCAGCTGCCAGGATTGGAGCATTGAGTGCCTAAAAAGGACGCTGCATTCGTGAGCAAGTCAATCTGGAATGAGTCCAATATGGTAGGCTCATTCACGGTACACCAACATTGATGCACCAGCAAGAAGGAAGAAAAGTGATGTCCATGAGATGAGATCATGCTCGACAAAGCGGATGTCAGGCCAGCCGTCAAACAATTCCAGGTCAAGAAAGCCGAACAACAGGTGGAGAAATCTTATAACCATTTACAACTAGACAACGGTACGACGGAACCTCAGAAAGCCGAACGACCAGCCGCTACCGTCGATCAGCAAGACACGAAGCCAAGCTTCCCGTGAAATCCGCTTCTTCAGTTCTTGATAGCATTCTGCCTGGAGATGGGATTCATGACGACGGGAGAACCGGCCTCGCGCGGCCACGCGTCAAGCAGCTTGTCGCTAGCTTGGATCCACTCCCGCGTCATGGTCCGCGGGGTCTCTCCGCCGAACGGCTGCGCGCGAGCGGCAAGCCAGATGCCGTAGGACAGCGCGAGAGCCGAGAAGATCGGCGGGCCGACCTTGCTAAAGGGCGCGACCGTCATGGTGAGGTGCTCGGGACACGAGAAGCGCTCTAAAGCGTGATTTTGGAAGCTAGGAAATCTAGCAGGAACTTAGGGTTACGGGATCTCTAGCAGGCTCTCCTGGCAAAGAATGGTCTCTAGCAAGGAATGGTTGCCAGCAGGAGGAAAACTGAATCACAGGAACTCCGCCACGCTCGGGGGAAGGGTGGGGAATTTTGGGGGGAAGGGGGAGAAGGCGGGGGGGAAAGCTGAAGGGGAAGAAGGTGGGGGGAGAAGTGGAGAGGCGGGGGAGGGGATTTGTTGGTTCGGGAGGCTGGCGGTATGGGGCGACAGGCTGGGCGGAGAAAGTAATTGGTCTGCGAACCACCGCAAACCAACTTGGGAACCAATCAGCAGCGTCGAAGTTTTCTTCGAACCTCCAGAAACCTGTTACCAAGGTTTTGGTTTCCCGAATCAGAAGCACATCCGGCTTCGTCGATGTTCGCCAGATTGTCGTCATTTCGCATGATTTGTTTTTGTGTCGCAAAAGTACCAAGAGTGCCAGATTTGAATCCATTTTCCAAATCGCCCCGAGAGCCATTTACGCCATCTACTCATAACTTGTATCTCAGTTTCGCCATTTCTACCCCGCTCTCCTCAAAATTACTCTCTTTGCGGCATTAGCAGCGTCCGTAGAATCCGTAGGAACCTCAAGCTGCCTCGGCGACGTGGCCGCATGGCGTCCTGCGCGAGCAGAAGGCGACTATCGACAGTCGTCCTTCCGAACCTTCACCTCCGCCTGCGCTGCTCCTGCGCGATCCGCGCGACCGCTTCGGTCCCTTTAGTTTCCGCGACGCGGCAAGAGTCGCCAGTCGCGTCCTTGGATCGGCAGTTCTCCGCAGGACCGGCGGGACCTCCGCGCCCGTCGTCGGACTATCCATCGCGCCCACCTCCGCCAGAAGCCAGTACGTTCAGAGATAGCTGGCAGTATAGACATGTGTATCGGACTTTTGAGACGTCTCAAAACGCGGCGGTCGTCCAACTATCCGTCGCGGCCGCCGCCACCTGAAGCCAGTACGTTCAGAGACTAGTTTTACCCTGTGTATCAGGCTACTGAATACTCACAGGTCATTCTAGAGCCGTTTTTCCATCCGACGCGCTGTTTTCTAGGCGCATTCAAATCCGCAGCATCACACGTGGGCTGCTCTAGGTTCCTCCGCGACGAAAGTAACTCGATGCTTCCTCCGCGCAGCGTTTTCTTTCCTCCGATGCTCCCTTCGCCGCCCACCCACCCTCCCCTTTTCCCTCTCCCCCTCCCCCGCGTCTCCTTTGCACCATTCTACTTCTTTTTACGCCCGAATCTGGCGAGATTTGACACATGATGAAGGCTCAGTTACCCCCCTGTCGGCACCGTTTACCTCCTTGCGCGCCCTTGCTCACCCTCCTCTCTCACTCACCCTCTCCCCACCCGCGTCACGAATTTTGAGACGTCTCAGAAGTTGGCAACATTTGCTTCCTTTCTCGTCCTTGCTCATCCTCCTCCCTCCCTCACCTTCCCACCCCCCTCCCCTGTCCACTCCCCAAGACAGGGGAGCAAGGAGAAGGTGAGAGCAGGGAGGGGGATGTGGGGGTACCGGTTGTTTTCTCCTTCCCTCTCTCACTCTGTTTCCCTTTCCCTGCTTCCCTCCCTTCGTCTTCCACACCCCCCACTCCCCCCCCTTTTCCCTCTCTCCTGCCCCCCAGTGCCCATTATCGGTAAGCGGACAGGGGGGGAGGGGGCAGGGGAGAGCGAGAGCAGGGAGGTGGATGTGGGAGCGAGCATGGGCGGGTGACCCGGGGCGAATGCAGGAGGTGTTTGGGGAGTGGCGGAGATGAATCTAAAATTCAACACTCTGTGTTTCCCCCCTCCTCCCTCTCCTTCCCTTCCCCCCAGTGCCCATCATTGTGCCAGGCGAACCTGTGCCTGGCCAGGGGGGGAGGGGGCAGGGGAGAGCGAGAGCAGGGAGGGGGATGTGGGAGCATGGGCGGGTGACGCAGAGCGAATGCAGGAAGTGTTTGAATTGGGGGGGTCAAGAACACGACTCTGTTTCACCCCACTCCCCCCCTCTCCCTTCCCCCCAGTGCCCATCATCGAGCCAGGCGAACCTGTACCGGCACAGGGGGGGAGGGCAGCAGGGGAGAGTTTTGAGGCGCTTCAAAAGTCGAACCTGTACCCGGGCAGGGGGGGAGGGCAGCAGGGGAGAGCGATTGGTGATTACGGCAGCGTCTCAATACCCTCTTTTCCGCTCACGCCTCCCTTTCCCCATCCTCCCTCGCCTCCCTGTCCTTCCCCCCAGTGCCCATCATCGAGCCAGGCGAACCTGTACCCGGAAAGGGGGAGAGGGCAGCAGGGGAGAGTTTTGAGGCGCTTCAAAGGTCGAACCTGTACCCGGGCAGGGGGGGAAGGCAGCAGGGGAGAGTGATGGGTGATTACGGCAACGTCTCAATACCCTCTTTTCCGCTCACGCCTCCCTTTCCCCATCCTCCCCTCCCCCCCCCACATTTCCTCAAGTGCCCATCATTGAGCCAGGCGATCCTGTACCCGCACAGGGGGGGAGGTCAGCAGCGGAGAGCAAGGGCCGGGAGGGGCTTGAGGGGGGTTGGTCCTGTACCCATCCCTGTTCCTCTCTTGTCTATCCCCCCTTCCCCTTCCCCCCAGTGCCCATCATTGAGCCAGGCGATCCTGTACCTGTACAGGGGGGGAGGGCAGGGCAGCAGGGGCGACTGCAGGGGGTACTTGCGGAGGCTTTTGAGACGCCTCGACACTTTGTCAACTCCCCTTTCTTCCCCCTCCCGCTTCCCCCGCCCCCGTCCCCTTCCCCCCCCCAGTGCCCATCATTGAGTCAGGCGATCCTGTACCTGGCCAGGGGGGGAAGAGCAACAGGGACGAGTGCAGGAGGTAGTTGGGGCGGCTTTTGAGACGCCTCAACACTTTGTCAACCCCCCCTTCCTTCCCCCTCCCGCTTCCCCCGCCCCCGTCCTCCCCCCCCCCCCCAGTGCCCATCATTGAGTCAGGCGATCCTGTACCTGCACATGGGGGGAAGGGGAGCAGGGGCGACTGCAGGAGGTACTTGGGAAGGCTTTTGAAACGTCTCAACGCTTTATCAACCCCCCTTTCTTCTGCCTCCCACTTCCCCCACCCCCTTCCCCCACCCCCTTCCCCCACCCCCTTCTCCCACTTTCCCCACCCCCTCCCCCCCAGTGCCCATCATTGAGCCAGGCGATCATGTACCTTCACAAGGGGGGAGGGCAGCAGGGGAGGGGGACGAAGGGGCATGGGCGCGGGACCAAGGGCGGATGCAGGAGGTGTTTGGGGCGATAAGGGAGCACCGAATCGACACTGTGGGGCGAGGGCAGGTGGGTTGAAACGGCTTGGGAGAATGTGTGCGAACCTGTGTGGGGCGCTGTGGGACGAATGCAGGAGGTGTTTGGGGCGATTAGGGAGCACCGGGTCGACACAGTGGGGCGAAATCAGGTGGGTTGAAAGCCGAGGCGAATGGGTGCAGATGGGTTGCGGGGGCATGGGCGCGGGACCAAGGGTGGATGCAGGAGGTGTTGGGGGCGATAAGGGAGCACCGAATCGACACCGTGGGGGAGAGAGCAGGTGGGTTGGGATTGAATATGAGGCAGGTGGGTGCAGGCAGGTAAGGCGAGAGCAGGGAGGGTATTTTGTGAATCCCAGGGCGAGTGCAGGCGGTGTTTACAGTGATAAACGAGCACCGAATCGACACCGTTGGGAGAGGGCAGGTGGGCTGGGAACTGAGGCAGATGGGTACAGGTGGGTGCAGGTGGGTACAGGTGGGTGCAGATGGGTGCAGATGGGTGAAGGTGGGTGCAGGTGGGTGCAGATGGGTACAGGTGGGTGCAGATGGGTGAAGGTGGGTGCAGGTGGGTGCAGATGGGTACAGGTGGGTGCAGATGGGTGCAGATGGGTGCAGGTGGGTGCAGATGCGTACAGGGGAGATGGTTCATGGGACCCAGGGAGAATGCAGGAGTTGTTTGGGGCGATAAGGGAGCACCGAATCGACACCGTGGGGAGAGGGCAGGTGGGTTGAAGAAGTGAGGCGGTGTGCTAGGCAGGTGCGCGTGTGTGGGCATGTGCGGAAGCAAATGCAGGAGGTGTTTGGGGCGATCAGGGAGCACCGAATCGACACTGTGGGGCGAGATAAGGTGAGTTGAAACGGCTTGGGAGAATGTGTGCGAACCTGTGAGGGGCGCTGTGGGACGAATGCAGGAGGTGTTTGGGGCGATTAGGGAGCACCGGGTCGACACAGTGGGGCGAAATCAGGGTTGAAAGCCGAGGCGAATGGGTGCAGATGGGTTGCGGGGGCATGGGCGCGGGACCAAGGGCGGATGCAGGAAGTGTTTGGGGCGATAAGGGAGCACCGAATCGACACTGTGGGGAGAGATCAGGTGAGGCTGTGTGCAAGGCAGGTGCGTGTGTGTGGGCATGTGAGGGAGCGAATGCAGGAGGTGTTTGGGGTGATAAGGGAGCACCGAATCGACACCGTGGGGGAGAGAGCAGGTGGGTTGGGATTGAATATGAGGCAGGTGGGTGCAGGCAGGTAAGGCGAGAGCAGGGAGGGTATTTTGTGAATCCCAGGGCGAGTGCAGGCGGTGTTTACAGTGATAAACGAGCACCGAATCGACACTGTTGGGAGAGGGCAGGTGGGCTGGGAACTGAGGCAGATGGGTACAGGTGGGTGCAGATGGGTGAAGGTGGGTGCAGGTGGGTGCAGGTGGGTGCAGGTGGGTAAAGGTGGGTGCAGATGCGTGCAGGGGAGATGGTTCATGGGACCCAGGGAGAATGCAGGAGTTGTTTGGGGCGATAAGGGAGCATCGAATTGACACTATGGGGTGAGAGCACGTTGGTGCAAGTAGGTGCGGCTGGGTGCAGGTGGGTAGAAGAGGGGACAAAGGGCGATGCAGGAGGTGTGCTGCAGTCTCTACCCTCCCTTACATTCCTCTCCTCCCCTCCGTCCCACTCCTCTTTCGCAGACGAGGCAGGACCTTCAAGGTGGCAAGTCTGCATCTGGGCGAATCACTCTGGCTCAGCTGAACGAATTGCTCGCCCTCCCTTCCCTCACACTCCTTCCCTCCACACTCCTTCCCTCACACTCCTTCCCTCACACTCCTTCCCTCCACACTCCTCTACGCCCCTCTCCCCACCTGCAGTCGAGGCAGGACCTTCAAGGCGGCAAGTCTGCATCAGGGCGAATCACTCTGGCTCAGCTGAAGGAGTTGCTCTCCCTGCATGCACGGGGCAGTGGGGACAGCAGCAGCAGCAGCAGCAGCAGCACCCCGGTAACTTCCGGGTTTGACTCCTTAGCTACCCGGTTCGCCGTTGATGCTTCGCTATTGGCCAAGGTTCTCGCACATGTGCGCATGCCCATTCCTGAAGCATGATGGGACTGATACCATGTGGTGTTGGTAGCTATTGTTGAGTGCTGATGCTTCGCTATTGACCAAGGTTCTCGCACATGTGCGGATGTGGACATGTGCGCACATGTCCCATTCCTGAAGCATAATGGGACTGATACCATGTGATTGGCAATCATTCTCGAGAGTTGGTGCTAGTTAAAGCCCGCATGCAAAATAGTGACCCCTGTCCCAACTTGAATGAGGAGTTGCATGTGAGGATGAAACCAGTCTCAAAAACACTGTTTCAAACGATTTGTATGGGCAGAGTGAACTCATGTCATTGGCCCTCGCCACAATGGAACGTAATGGTTCCCGCCAAAATGAACTTTTTTTCACATTTCAGCCGTCGCATTTTTGCGTGCCGCATCCGCACGACAAACCCCAGGCGATGGTTTTCCATCGCAGGCCCAACCTCATTTTCAAGCTGGTGGTGGGTGCATTACTAGATTTCTGTCACTCCATTCATCACTAGTTTCCGCATAGCATAGTAAGTAGTAGAGCTGAAAGCACATGCGATCGTGTCATAGCCACGTAATTACCGACGAGTGCGTCAATTGTCGACTTAGCGAGAGTGTGAAATGTAGGTTTACGTGGCCTGGTAGCGCAGTGCCCGTTTCCCGTCTCGCCATTGCTGGTGGGGTCCGCCGACGCCTCGCTCTCTAGTCCGTCCCGTCGCCTTTCCGTCGCCCTCGCAAACGCACACGCGACGGCCCTCCCGTCGTCGTCACGGTCTCCCCTCCCGGTTATTCTCCCGTTCACCCCTCTTGTCCCCTCGCCCTCGCGAGTTCCCTCCGAGCCCGTCGCCTTCCCGTTCTCCCGCCCCTCGCTTTCGATGTCCCCTCTTCCTTCCCTTCGCCCTCACTATCTCCCTTCCCTCACGTTGCCTTCGTTGTCCCCTTTTTCCTTCGTTCCTTCCCGTCGCCCTCGCGATATCCCTTCCCCCTCCCGTCGCCTGTCCGCTCTCCCTCCCGTCGCCTTCGCGCTCTCCCCCGTCGCCTGTCCGCCCTCCATCCCATCGCCTTCGCACTTTCTTTCCCGTCGCCTGTCCACTCTCCCTCCCATCGCCTTCGCACTCTTCATCCCGTCGCCTTTCTCCTTCCCCACTTCATCTCCTATCGCACCGCCCTTCCAACACCATTTCCGTTCCGCTCGTTTAGTATAGCCCTACCGCCGTCCTTCCTCTCTCTTTTCCCATGACCCACCTCGTTGCCGTGGCGCTCTCGCCCAGTCGCCCTCCCGTCGCTCTTCCTCTCGCCCCTGCCATCACCCACCTCTGTGTCAGAATGTTATCTTATGCTCTAGCCTGTAGTGGGGTGCTCTATAGCGAGTACAACCCTTCTAGGGTTTCCTATTTGTATCCCCATTCTTGCTAGTGCACCCCTCTTTTGCCTAAACTTTCTCTTGCCTAGCTAGGGCTTACCTAGCTATGGCTCCTAACTATGCTTACTATCTTAACATGGAATCAGAGCGACTACGCTCTTGGCCTGTGGGTGGGCTCACCACCTCGTTGCTTCCGCTGCAACTTCCACTGCTACCCTCTGTGCCGCACGCCCCGTGGCGTGCGGCAGTTTTTTCTTCCCGCCGTGCGCCCCGAGGCGCGCGGCGGTTTTCTGCCCGCCGTGCGCCCCGTGGCGCGCGGTGGTTCTCTGCCCGCTGTGCGCCTCGAGGCGCGCGGCGGGCTTCTGCCCCGTCCCTCGGCGCGTCGCCCTCGGGAGGCGCTGCGACGGGCGACGGGGACCCGCGCGTCGCCCCCCGTCGCCCGTCGTGGCCTGCGTGCGGCCCGTAAGGGCTGCGCCAGGCCCGGACGCGGCCCGTACGGGCTGCGCCAGGCCAGCGCGCGGCCCGTACGGGCTGCGCCAGGCCCGCGCGCGGCCCGTACGGGCTGCGCCAGGGCCGCGCGCGGCTCGGGCCGCCTGCGCGCGGTTCGGGCGGCTGTGCCAGGCCCGTGGGCGGCCCTTTCCTCGCTGCCCCTGCCCTCCCCGCTGTCCCCCGTGCTTCTACTGGCGCCCCACCCCTCCTACAGCCCGTTCTCCTGAATTAGGGTTTGGGGGTGAGGGGTATGGGGGTGAAGCCACTGTGTGCCGTTCCCTGCTCCTCCTCCTCCTCCGTCTCCCTGTGCTGCAGCTGCCGCTGAGGGGGGGTGGACTTGTTGAAGCCGTTGGAGTGGTACTAAGGGGGGGGTGAAGGGGGAGTGGAGCTAGCGGTGAAGCAGGGGGTGTGTGCCAGGGGGGAGTGGGATAGTTTGGGGAAGCTGAATGGAGGTTGCCGTCGTGTCGCCAGCAGCACCTGTATTCCGGGGACTTCGTCCGGTAGCCCAGTCGTAGCCAGCTGTGCCAGCCGCCCGTGGGTCCGTTGCTCGTCTGCCGCTACTTTAGCCGCGGGGCCTGTTACTCCTGTATTCCGGGGACTTCGTCCGGTAGCCGCTGTGCCAGTCTGCCTCCTATTGCCCGTGTGTCTGCAGCTTCAGCCGTCGCCTCCTATCTCCTCTCCTCTCACTCTCTCTCCCCCTCCTCACTTGCCCGTTGTGACTACCACTAGCTTTGCTCATAATTGTGAACTTAAACTATTGCTTCTTGAACTTGTGCTCAGAATGTGTGGTGACATTGTGATCCACCCTGAGCTTGTACTCCTTTGCTTACTCTGCTGATTACACCCCACTTTGGCTATGGGGGTGTGTCAGAATGTTATCTTATGCTCTAGCCTGTAGTGGGGTGCTCTATAGCGAGTACAACCCTTTTAGGGTTTCCTATTTGTATCCCCATTCTTGCTAGTGCACCCCTCTTTTGCCTAAACTTTCTCTTGCCTAGCTAGGGCTTACCTAGCTATGGCTCCTAACTATGCTTACTATCTTAACACTCTGCGCCGTCACGCTCGTTTCGAATAGCCCTCCCATCCCTTCCCGCTGCTCTCGCTCTCTCCCATCCCTTCCCGTCGCTCTCGCCCTCTCCCATTCCTACCCGTCGATCTCGCTCTCTCCCATCCCTTCCCGTCGCTCTCACCTTCTCCCATCCCCTCGCCATCGCGCTCACGTTCCTCGTCTCCCGTACCATTCGCGCTCGCACATTCTCATCCCGTCCCGTACCGTTCCTCCTCTCTCCCCATCCATCCCGTCATTCCTCCTCACTGTCCTCCCATCCCGTCGTTCTATCTCTCTCCCTTCCCGTCCCGTCGTTCCTCCTCTCTCCCCTTCCCATCCCGTCGTTCCCGCTCTCTCCCCTTCCCATCCCATCGTTCCGTCTCTCTCCCCTCCCATTCCGTCGTTCCGCCCCTCTCCCCTTCCCATCCCGTCGTTCCGTCTCCCTCCCCTCCCGTCCCGTCGTTCCGCCTCTCTCCCCTTCTATGCCGTCGTTTCGCCTCTCTCCCTTCCTATCCCGTCGTTCCTCCTCTCTCCCCTTCCCATCCCGTCGTTCCCGCTCTCTCCCCTTCCCATCCCGTCGTTCCGTCTCTCTCCCCTCCCATTCCGTCGTTCCGCCCCTCTCCCCTTCCCATCCCGTCGTTCCGTCTCCCTCCCCTCCCGTCCCGTCGTTCCGCCTCTCTCCCCTTCCTATGCCGTCGTTTCGCCTCTCTCCCCTCCTATCCCGTCGTTCCTCCTCGCCTTGTTCATCATTTTTTTTTCCGTTCGTTCTTTTTTTCTCAACTCCCTATTCTATCGCCTCGACTACAAGTCCAAAGAAACATTTTTTTCACATCTTTGCTAGCTCGTCGGACAACCTTTATGGTGTTCCACTGTCATCTCGTGCATATGTGCGTGCGCTGGATTTTGCCAATGTTGTTGCTTGATGTGAAGTTTGACAACTCCTTGTCTGAAAACATAGCATTGAAAACTTGCGCCAAATTCGTACAGGCAAGTGAGTGAAAGTCGCTGCCAATCAAAATTGTAGAAAAGTTCCAAATGTTCCCTGTTCACATCGAGACTCGACTGGGGGTGTAAAAACAAAACTTATAGCACTTCAACCTCTCAAAACGTTCCAAAAAAACTTGTGTCTTCAAATGGACCCAACTAGAAGGGGGGGGTCACTATTTTAGCTACGGGCTTTAACTATTATTCAAGGTGCTTGCGCGGTGCACACATGCCTTGATTTTCGAAGTGTGATTGATTGCTAATAGCATGTGACATATGCATGCCATGACCAGACCACCTGGACAGCGTTGCTGTGCGTGAATTGCACATGCCACAATCTATGAAATTGGCACTCGAATGTGAATGGGACTTGCACGTCGCAAACTTGCGACACATTGCACATGTGCGTGAATTGCACATCATTGCGACGATTTTTGTTTGACGAAATATGTGAAGACCCGATCAGTATCAAACACGTTTAAAAAGAAAAAAACAGAACACTTCCAACTTTCCAAAAAGCCAAGACTTCAACTGGACCCAACTAGAAGGGGGGGGGGGGGGGGGGGTCACTATTTTAGCTGCGGGCTTTAACCCCGAAGTGCGTGTATCATAGGTGCGTGTTCACGACAACTGGTGACACTGAACAATGGTTTGTTTTCTTGTGGGAATCTGTTTCGTAATTAATAGATTTCCTCGTGCTATTGGCTACTAGGTTGTGTACAAGTCTTCTCCTATATGCCTATTTACTATATGGCCTGTCCACTAGGTGGAATCAATAGTTTCTACTTCTAGTGTAGCGATATTTTAGTTAACGTAGCGCGTCCAGAATTCCGCCTAACCACATCCCATCCCATCCAAACCGCAGTTGGCCCAGCTCCACTTGAACCACCGCACCAACACCACTGGGCTAATCTTACTCGATGGATTGGATTCTCATAAGAGTATACCTGGCTCCAGGTGGCTGCCGCTCATTCGGAAGTGGCCAGCTGTCGGCTTAGGCAAGTGCTGTCCTGCTCAGTCGAAGGATGTCCCAATCGCAATTGCAGCGAAAATTGTTGCCGGTTTGTTTTTCTCAACTCAGTTGCGTGGTAGGGGACAAACGCGATCGATTTCGCATCACATCGTCCACAAATGGGAAAATGGGTGACGTGTGAGACATTCCTGGGCACTGTAGCAAGGAAGCAGCTCTCTGAGGAAACGTGAGGGAGGGAGGGAAGGGAAGAGAAGGGAGGGGTGGGCTGGGGCTTGCAGGGTGATTTTTTATAACCAGGTTTTCCTGCCCGGCCGTCACCACATCAACATTTTCTCTTATCAAAGCAGTGTCCCTTTCCATTTCCCTGCGGCAGAACCACCAAGATTTAACATATGCTGTTTCGCCGTCTAAACTCTTAACACACCCTGGTCTCCCCAAGTGTAGTCTTCGCTCTGGCTTCACTTTCGACCGAGCCCAACTGCCCACCTGCTCTCTAAATGTGAGAAAGTAGCACAAGCCAGCACACCAGCGAACACTGCTGGCTTGTTGAATTTACTGATTCGTGACCTCTGCCTAACCCTCTGACTCCCCTCAGATTTAACTACGGTGAAGATTAGGGGGTGTCCGAAGTGAAACGTCCACATCCGTTGACATCCGTTTGGGGATGTCGGTAAATCCTGACGGTTGGAACCGTCGATCCGAGGGATGACATTTACCGACATCCAGCGACATCCATCGACGTTTCACTTCGGACACGCCCTTATACCTTGTTATTGTCACTAGACGACACGCAGATCTGGTTGGCCATGGCGATCTGAACTGGGCTGCCCAGAGAAAGCATCTCAGGACAGCCCCAGAGTAGCCGAGGAGCCAAGCTTTATCATTGGCGGTGCATGCGTGTTTCCAATCGCAAGCAATGGATTTATATCATTAGCATTTGTATCGAATCCGATTATCCCTCAAGCCGCACCGTCAGATGGTGGGGCGGGAATCAGGACAGACGATATGCTCCTCTTCGAGCAAGGGTTAAAGCCCAAGTCCCGAATTACAAAAAACGAAGGCAAACTGTGCACAGTCTGCCTCTCGCAGCCCACAGTTTTGCCCCGCGTTAACTTGCGTTGAGCAATTCAGGTCTTGGGCTTTAAAGGACGCATCCAGAATTACCGTGTCGGCCCCAAAACTGTCACCACTTTCACGTGATTGGTCGAAGGTTTTGAGAGGGTTTTTGACGCGATTGGTTCTCGATTTTCCCACCGAACCTCCTTATGGGGTTTTCCGAACCTACAATTTTTTCGTTGACTTCGTTGTGTAATTCGGGGTGTGGCCTTTAAGTGGTAGAATTATACACCTAGTCCGCGGTATTTTAACCGCCGCTATCTTAACCGCGCGAGGGTAATTCTCCTTGGTTAAATTGTTTTTATACGAGTAGTTTCGAAATTTATTGAGGGTAGAATCTAGCATACCCATTGTGAGGCGACGGCAGTCAAAACATGGTCAATGCCAACCCGCCCTCTATTTCGGAGCACTAAGTGTGAGTTTCTTTAGAAGGAAATGCTTCTGGCTGCGAAACAATAGCCTTGAAGTCTCTGGGTGCCCATCTCATTACCCGAAAATGAACAAAGTGCGTTTGAAGCAAAACAGTTCACGTGGTTAAAATACCGCGGACTAGGTGTAGGAGGCATCCTCTCTAGTCGAAATGTATGGGAGACTCCTCCAAGGTCTTGTGGGAACTCGAGGTAAGAGCGGGGTACACCTGACGCATTATCAAGGATCACTTAGCTAAGATCACCGTCACCCCAATCGTAGGATCATTGGTAGCAAAACAACAAATTTTGCGGGCACATAACGATCCTCGTTGATGTACCATCTCCAATTTTGCATTGGTGATCCTCTCCGACCAGGCGACATCGCAACGAGTCACGAACGTTGATACTTCGCGTACATATGTTGGCCGTGTAATGTACTGAGACGAAACAACCTCATTGGTGAAATTTTCATTTTCGAACTGTTTTGATTTGTTGCGACTTCCTTTCAGATGTACGACCTGATTGCGAAAGGAATGTTTTTAGTCAACAAGGATCACCCTGTCTTTGGTACAGAGTTGCAAAGATCACCAACAGATTGGCAGTCACGATGATCCTACGGACATCACAAAGATTGTGTAGCATTGACTACACATGTTCCCGATCCCACCTCTGTTGGTACACCACCTGACACAGTGATCACTGTAATGTAGTAGGTGGGACACTGTTCTGCAAGGATCGCCGACGTGATCCTCAAAATGCAGCGATCTCTGCTTGGGTGTACCACGCTCTAAGCTTTGCGTGTGCGTGAGGACAGGCAGGAGTGAGCTCTGTCGGGTGCGAGAGCGACGCAAGAAAAGGGCCGGCTTTTGAGGTCAAATCCGTAGATTTCATTTCCTAAAGACGTATTTTTTTGTTCATAGCTCCGATCTGTGTGGCGTCGACAGCCTGTCCATGCCAAGTTGTGCACAGCAGTGCTCGTAATTTCACTCGAGGAATCATTGACAAAGCTTATCTTCCCAGTGTTTCGTTTAGCCACACTAATGGCGGCGTGTACGACTTGGCAAGCTGTGAGTACTGTAGTACGCTAGTGCGGCAACTGTGAGCCTGACGTAGCTTCCGCACGTCCGATCCGTACTGAGAACTCATTGGATTCCGAACAAGCCTCCACAACATCATAAGCTCCCTCGAGCCCCGCTTATATAGCCCGGACTAAGATTCAAGGCATCTAGTAGTATTTCAGAAGCAGAAAGAGTCTCGTTACCTTCGAATACCTCAGAGTTTTTACTGCTTCTGCTGCTGTCACAGAAAGAATTCTGTCGTCCGAGGTTCTCGAGATCCCCCATTGAGAGTTCCAGCGCTTTGAGAAGTCCATTAAGTTACTCGTTTTTTTCCAGCGAGGTTACTGCTCGTTATGCCCAGTGGAGCCACCATGCATCCTTCTGGAGCTGCTGGTGCTGTCAATTCCGAAAGATCGCGCTTCTCTAACGTGAATCGCCGATTGGAGGCATGGAATCGCGCGACAAGCTCCCTCAATCCCGCTTTCCAGCCGTTGTCCAATCTCAGAAATCACCCAAAGAAATCGAGCATATCCGGCCGGGTTCCCGCAGCACCCAGCAGCACCGACTCCAATCGCCCTCACTACATCCCCCGCAGAGGGTCACTCCCTGACTTAGGAGCTGCTGGTAGGGATCCTTGGTCCCCCTCCTCCCCACTGGATCAATGTGCTACACCTAAGCCCTCCTCGGAATGCTCTCCTGTCGCTGATCCTGCTCGTGCTCTCAGAGTGTTTGATTCTGCTACGTCGCACCAGAGCAGTCAATCTGAACTGCAGGAGACAAATCGCCGCTTGAAGGGGGGAAATGCGGCCTCCTGTGGGACTGCCACGTGTGACACACCGAACGGTGCAGCTGACGAGGCAAGCGCGGGGTGTTTTAAGTCAGACTCCCATTCCGGAGTTTATGGTCATGTGGTGGGGGAAACCGCAATCAAGAAGAACCAGGGCCTGCAAATGCAGGGGAACATCGCACACAGACGAGGGTTTTCCGTTACATCGCTCGAGAGCTCAGCAGAATCAAGACAAGAAGACAAGGAACCCGTCAGAAGAGGACGGAGCAGTTGTGACCTTGGGAATTGGAGAAGGGACGAGAGCAGCTGCTTTTTCAGCAGAGAGTGTGGCTGTGTAGGAAGTGGCGGCAGCAGTGCTGGAAGCACCACTGTTGTGTCTCCAGTGTGTAAAATCATGTCTACGGCCCCGCCTGTGTTTGTGTGGGCTGCTAGAAGGCGGATAGAGAGGAGGCTATCGCAGAGTGAAACTGGACTTGTGTGCACAACATCGATGTAATATAGTGCTATTTTACCTGCGTGACAGTATTTGAACTAAAACATAACTACAATGGCCTGTGTGCAAATGGTGGAGATAGACTCTGGAGAAGCTATCAATTCACGTGGGCTAGGTTATGAAACGCTTTGCACGGGAAACAGAGTATGGATGCAACTCTAGTTTTGAGATGCACTTTGGCCAGGGCTAACTTTAGTAAAATGACCTGTCTGGCTTTAGGACCGGGTCCTGGCTCCTTGTCTGATTGTCAGACGAAAGCTGTAACATTGTCTAGCTTTTCAGACGAATCCTAAGTACTTGTCTGAGATTTCAGATGAAGATATATAGCTAGCAAGCAATGTCTTCCAAAACTAATTATTTATAAATTTAAGTACCGAGGATGTTTAGCCTCCAATGGTCCAGTCAGTAGAATTGAGGCATGTGAAGAATGAGATTACGGGTTTGAATCTTGCCGCCTGACTTTGCCAAGCAGGTGCAGTCACCCTTTTGGTCCGCGAAAATTTTGCCTTCAGACGAGAAAATACTCGATATCTGCAGTCTCAGACGAACTGTATAAGGATGTCTAAGAATTCAGATAAATACAAAAACACTGTCTTAAAAATCAGATGAGTTTAAACGACATGTCTAGGCCATCAGATGAACAATAAAAAACGTGTCTGAAATCCAGACAAACAGACAAAATATTTCTGATAACGTAGGCCCTGACTTTGGCTTCTGTGAATACCGTATTATTCCGGCTATAGGACCCGCCGGTAAAAGGGTCCCCCGGGACTCTCTATGGGGTACTGGGACTCTTAATTTGGTACCAAAATGAGGGGACCCCCCTTTTGACCCTAAACATTATAAGACCCCCCACGTCTCTTTAGAGTGTGTTTCATTACAGGGAGTTTTTCTGCTACTGCAATAGTACTACAAAACACAACAATGATGTCAAAAACAACCTTCGATTCCACACCAGTTAGAGTTAACGTTATCGGAAGCAATCCTGCTCAACTGCAATTCTAGACATGCAAATCTACACTTCTCCTGCCAATAGCCACCAGCATGCCTCTCACTCCTCCTCCTCCTCCTCCTCCTCCTCCTCCTCCTCCTCCTCCTCCTCCTCCTCCTCCTCCTCCTCCTCCTCCTCCTCCTCCTCCTCCTCCTCCTCCTCCTCCTCCTCCTCATCCTCGTCCTCGTCGTCGTCGTCGTCGTCGTCGTCGTCGTCGTCGTCGTCCTCCTCCTCCTCCTCCTCCTCCTCCTCCTCCTCCTCCTCCTCCTCCTCCTCCTCCTCCTCCTCCTCCTCCTCCTCCTCCTCCTCCTCCTCCTCCTCCTCCTCCTCCTCCTCAGGCGGCACGTCCCCACAATCCTCGTGATCTATCGCCTCAGCCGCCGCCGCGTCCTCAGCGGCGGTGGCGAAGAGGGGGTTCACCCACTCCTCCACCTCAGGAGCGGTGTGAACATCATCGGCCACCTCAACCTCGCCACCATCCCGCATGTGGGCGAGGATGAGGTGATCCTCCTTTCCATCTACGGCGTTGCTGATGCCGGTGGTGAGAAAAGAACGCTCGATGATGTACGTGGGCACTTGCGCCCAGGCAGTTGCGATCCACTTCAGAACCATCTCCGCTGGGGGCTTCCTCAAGTTTCCTGCGGTGTACACGGTAAGATGCGTTAGGGAACAGGGGGAAAAACGTATCACAGGGATTACACGCTTCAACGGTGTGCTGCCTATGATCACCTGCGGTCGTGAAGGTGTTGACGCCGACTTCGGCGAACCAATCATTGTACAGTTGGCGAAGCACCGCCTTGAACGAGCGGTTCATGCTCACATCCAGCGGCTGCAGCAGAGGGGTGCACCCCCCGGGGATGATGGCCGGGATGACCTGGTTCCACCTCAGGTTCGCGAGCACGCGATCCGTGAGGTGTCCCCGGTAGGAGTCCAAGACCAGGAGCGTCTTGGACCAACGGCGACCAGCGGGAGGCTTGATGAAAGGAAGGAATATCTGGTTCACCCACTCCTCGACGAGCTTGGAATCCATCCAACCTCGCTCCTGCGCCTTGATGACCACTCCTGCCAAAGGAACCACAAGAGACACACGAGATTAGCACTGTTACAAGTGTTCCCTCGGATTCTACATGGCGCTTCGCTCACCTGGGGGAGCACGGAGCTTAGGGATGGTTTTCCGCTTAAAAATGACCATCGCGGGGAGCTTGCGGCCCTCAGCAGTGATGCCGAGCATCACTGTCACCCTTTCCTTCTCGTAGCCCGCGCTACGAACATGCACCGTCTTCTCCCCACGGTGGTGAAGTGTCCGCTCACACGGCATCTCCAAGAACACCGGCGTTTGGTCAGCATTGACAATGTTCCATGTGTCAATGCCCCATTTGATGATGTTCTTCCTCACGAAGGCCCAAAACTTCTCACACTTCGGCTTGCAATCTGTAAAGAGCCAACGACACCCCAGAAACATAGAGTTTAATCGCATTCACCGGCTGACAACAACAACGGCAAGAAACATGACAGAAATTGTAGGCGCGGTCGTTGTTTACTCGTACCTTTAGCAAGGGGCTGACCCATCTTTGTTTTCATACGGATGGTCAGGCCGTAGCGTGCGCGGAAGCGGAAAGTCCACCGCGGGGACGCCATCCACCTTACTTCCGGACGGTGATTCTTCATGTACGTGCGACTCTACTGCCGGATGAGGCGGATGGGGACGGCGCAGCCCCGACCGCGGAAGCTGAGATGTTTCTTATACACCGCCGCCTCCATCTCCGGGTATTTAGCTTTCCTCCCCCCACCTACCGAGGCGGCGCCTGCTCGGATCTGCTTTCTTGATCCGCTCCGCCACCTTAATCCATCGGCGGACGCTGATTGGCTGCACCCCGGCCAAACGAGCGGTGTGTCGTACGGAGAGATTCTCCTGCTCCATGCGGGCTAGCCACTCCTGCTTCTCTCCCATCGTTCGCACCGTCCGACGGTGAGATGTCCGGCGCGCACGAGGACTGGACGGCGCTCCGTCAGCACGGCGCGTGGGGCTCGTCTCTTCGTGGACGAGATCCGGGGGGAACGTTGGGACAGGGAAGTCCCCCACTTCTTGCTCCATCTCGTCGTCGTTTTCAGCGGTGGCGTCATCTTCGTCCTCTCCGTCCTCGGGCTCGGGAAACCCTTCGTGAGAGGGTTCGAACAAAGGAGTCGTGCGGTAGTCGATGAAAGCCTGAGGCAGCACAATCGGCGCAGGAGGCGCAGGTGGTGCTAGCGGCGACGGGCTTGTTATCAGAACTATAGCCGGCTGCTTGGATGGACTGCCAAGGCTCGAACGGCGGCTTCGCCAAGGGGATTCAAAGGCCGCCATGGTACTACTAAGGTACTACTACTCTAACATGTTTGTTGTGTGTCTGCTGATGGGGTCTTGTAGTAGCGTTCAAAGTTGTGTGGAATTTGAGGCACAAGATCTGAAGCCACGAAGAGAGAGTCCATCTGCTCGGCAGGCTGCTGGACGTGATTCCCGTAACACATCACGTCCAGCTTCTGTCAAACCCTTGTAAAAGAAGGGAAGAGAGACGTGGCCAGGCTGGGTACAGTACAGTCAAGAGGATAAGGCGGTTCGCCGATTTTGGGCGACAAACCACCGTCATGCCTCGTCTCTCGACGCGTGTCACACCAGAAAGTCGCGTTCGTGATGCTAGAAGCGAGGGATTTGAGTGTGTAAAATAAAAGACCCCCCCCCCCCCCGTACAGGAACTGTGCATGGTAAATCCATAAAATTTAATATTCAAATATGCACACCCGGGTCTTAAAAAACTGTATGCCACCTACATGTACACCCTAGCTATATTTCCTGCATTTGTAGAAAGTCCCCCAGGTCCTATAGCCGGAATAATACGGTAGAAGCAACAAATTAGTCGTTGGGAGTGTTACGATCAGAAGTTGATCATGCCTAGGATCACCTCAGGAAGGTTCGCACACAACTGAGTAGTGGTGGTGGGCCCGTGACCTCAATAGCAGAGTGAATGTATGAGAAGAATGAAGAACGAGGATGAATGAACTATGAATGAGGTGAGTACATATGGAAAACCCTAATTGGGTTGTACCCCCTATGGGATACCCCACTATAGCCTACACAACAGCATAAGCTATATAATGTTCTGACACACCCCCATAGGCAAAGTGGGGGAGAACAAGGGGTCACAAGACCAGTCAAGCAAAGCAGAGCAAGCTCAGGGTGGATCACAACGTCACCACACAGTCCGAGCACAACGACAAGGCCACAAGGCCAGTTCACATGCAGGAGTACACATATATATATAGAGCTAGACAAGCAAGAGCAGGTATATATATGTGACAGTACAAGTAAGGTCAAGAGGAGAGCAAGTGAGGCAAGACAGGTACAAGACCCAGCTGAGTGCAGAAGCGCTGATGGTCACAAGGCGCAAGTGCCTTGGTGAACACATCAGCAGTGTTGGCCTGAGAGGCCACGTACGCAAGTCGCAACTGACCACGCTGCTGCAGCTCACGAGCAAGAAAGTAACGGAGAGCAATGTGCTTCGTTCTGTGCTCCAAGCGCTGCTCTCGACACAAGGCCAGCATGGCCTTGTTGTCTACGTACAGCACTGGAGGAGAACGAGGCGGCTCTCCAAGGTCAGTCAGCAGGTAGGTGAGCCAGCGAAGCTCCTGTGCAGCCATGGCCCCGGCGTAGATCTCAGCCTCACAACTGGAGCCGAGAACAGAGGACGAGCGAGTAGCTCGCCACGAGACAGAGCCGGAACCAAGACTGAAGGTGTAACCCTGCGACGACCGCTGCGTAGCCTGGTCGTCAGCCCAAGAAGCGTCCGCGTGCCCAGTGAGGACCACTGGACTCCGCCCTCCAAGCACTAGTCCCATGCCCGACGTACTGCACAAGTATCGCAACACCCTCTTCGCTGCAGCCATGTGCTCTGGTCGGTGTCTCCCAGGAGCAACATAGCGTGCAAGAATGCTAAGAGGGTATGCAAGGTCAGGTCGTGTGCAGGTCATCAGGTACATGAGGCAGCCAACAAGCTCTGGATACGGGCCACTCGACTCTACTGACTCATCCGAAGGCAGAGCTGAGAGTGAGTGGCGAGTAGGCAGAGGAGTGGCCTGAGGCGAGGAGTACGTGAAGCCGAAGCGCTGAAGGACCTGCTGCACCATGTGTGACTGAGTCAGGGTAATGGTGCGGCGTGCTCTGTCCCGGGTGATCTGCAAGCCAAGGTAGCTGCGCAGTTCACCCAGGTCTGTGCACGTGTGTCTCTTCTGCAGCTCGGACTTCACGTGGGCGAGTCCAGCAGTGTCAGCTGTGGCAAAGACCAAGTCGTCGACGTACACGAGGATGTAGAACGGCGGCAGAGAGGTGTCGGTGCGTAGAAACAGCGACGGGTCGGCAGTAGAAGGAGCAAACCCAAGAGCCGCAAGCGTAGTCCTCAGTGTGTCGTGCCACTCACGTGGCGCCTGGCGGAGACCGTAGACTGGACGCCGGAGACTCCACTGGGTACCAGGAGGGAAAGACCCAGTGAAGCCAAGTGGGCGGCGCAGCCAGATCTCCTCGTGCAGGCTGCCCTGCAAGAAAGCAGTGCTGAAGTCGAGAGAGTGCAGCTCGTAGTCACGGTGAGCAGCAACGTGTAGCAGCACCCGAAGAGTGGTCATCTTCGGGGTGGGGGAGAAGGTCTGAAAGTAGTCAACTCCCTGTCGCTGACTGAAGCCACGAGCCACGTAACGTGCCTTGAAGACAGGCGGAGAACCCGGCGGCCGCTTCACCCTGAAGATCCACATGCCACTGACGATGTTCGCCCCAAGAGGGGGGACAGCGTCAACGTAGGTGCCTGTGGACTTCCAGGAAGCCATCTCTGCATCCATAGCTGCCTGCCACTGAGAGGAGTAGGGACCCTCTATCGCCTCCGCGTAAGAGCGCGGAGTCGGGATGTCAAGTGCATCCGGGTCTCCCTCAGGGGTAAGCAGTACGGACACGAGATGAGGTGAAGTAGCTGCCAGACACTGGAACTCCTCCTGCCTGTCCTCAAGGACGTCCGTGCCAAGGGCACACTCACCCCCGACTGACGGAGGACAGGCAGACCCAGACTCAGCGACAAGACTAGCAGCGTAGTCTAGGCGACAGCGAGCAGCAAAGTCGACGAGCTCAGTAACTAGGGCAGACGCAGCAGTAGACTCGAAGGAAGGGTCAGTGACGACAGTAGCAAGGAGACGCGTGACAGTAGGACTGGCAGCACGAAGAGAGTCCGACGCAGGGTCGGGAAGAGCAGGAAGAGAGGACTCAGGAGGAGAAGGCAAAGGGGCACGCAGAGGAGCAGTAGACGGACGCAGAGACATCCTGTGCGTGCCAGGGACAGGAGGAGGACGCTGACGCGAACCACGACCACTAGCGCGAGCAGCACGGACAGGCGACGCAGGGCGAGACGCAGGCTCACGACGCTCAGTAAGACCTCCAGTAGGACCAGTGTAGGGAGAAGGAGCAGGCAAAGGGGAGGTAGGCTGTAGCAGTGACCGCGACGGGACAGGCTGTGGACCCTCCAAGAGAGGAGGAGGACCAGGAGAGGGCGGAAGACCAAGAACCTGCTGCAGGAGTGGAACGAAGTACGGTCGAGGCCGCGTAGCTACGCCAGAAACAGCAGGGACAGCACCAGTACCCCCAGCAGGAGCACCCGCTCCAGCAGCACCTCCAGTAGCTCCAGAACCTCGAGCAACACCAGGAGCACCCCCAGCAGGACCGCCAGTGGTAGTCTCAGCGACAACACCCTCAGCAGCACCAGCTCCAGTCGAACCCGCAGGCCCAGCAGCTCCAGTACTCCCAGTACGAGCACCTCCGGGACCCGCAACAGCAGCACCCTCAGTAGCCGACGAACCTCCAGCACCAGCAGCACGGCTCCAGCGCCGGGCAAACCACTCGCGCAGCTCCTGTGGAGAGAGTGGCTCCCGGCGAGACAAAGCACGCGTAGAAACTCGAGGCGGAGGACCTCCAGGCGCAGCACTCCCAGGTCCAGCACCCCCAGGCAAAGCACCCCCAGGCGTAGCACCCCCACACTCAGCACCCCCAGGCTCAGCACCCCCAGGCTCAGCACCCCCAGGCTCAGCACCCCCAGGCTCAGCACCCCCAGACTCAGCACCCCCAGACTCAGCACCCCCAGGCTCAGCACCCCCAGGCCCAGCACCCCCAGGCCCAGCACCCCCAGGCTCAGCACCCCCAGCAGCACCAGAGTCACCAGTGACCTCGACAGGCTCGACTGCGTCTACCTGGGACACACCTGAAGGGGCAGGACCCTGAGGGGGGAGGGGGTCTACCGGGGGGGGACCTGGTACAAGGAAGAGCGGGGGCGGGGGGGGGGACGGAGTGCGGTAGGGGAAGAGGCGGTAGTAGGGTACCGACTCGTCGAACGTGACGTCCTGAGAGGACAGAACACGGCGAGAGGTGGGGTGGTAGAGCTGCCACCCAGGCGCGTCTGGGGGGAACCCCAGGAAGACGCAAGGAGCAGCACGAGGGGACAGTTTGTCCGCAGACAAGTCGCGGACAAACGCCCGAGATCCCCAGACCCGGAACGCCGACGCATCGCCCACCTTCCCGGTCCACAGCAAGGCTGGGGAGGTCTCCGGCCTGGAGACCCTGGGGTGAAGGTTGATCTGACGTGCCGCGTACCTCACCGCAAACGGCCACAGAAAATGGGGGGCAGCCGCATGCATCATAGACGTACGAGCGACGTCCATGACCATGCCAATGCGGCGCTCAGCAATCCCATTTTGCTGCGGAGAGTCCGGGAGCGTGAAGGTCTGACGGATGCCTCGTGCACGACAGTAGGCTCGCAGAAGGCCAGAGGAGAACTCTCCGCCTCTGTCCGAGTGCAGACGCAGAACAGGAAAGTCGGAGCCAAAGCTCTGCCTGAGTTGGAGACGAGCTGCGCGGATCCAGTCGATCAGCACCTCAGTGACATCACC